CAAGTATCCTGGAGCCAGGCCTGGCATCCAACAACAGGAACAGGACGGCAGTGGATTCAGTTGCTGTATACAATAACAACATGTGATCGGCTGTGGCCCCCCCACCCAGGACCCATTGGGAGAGCTTTCACTATTACGTGTCCTCCACTGTAAGGTGGTGACTCTTGTTGGGTGGCCAAAAGTTACCCGGCTTATGATGACTGTACTATCAACCATTAATTAATGGTTATACATTGCTAGATTAACATGAATCATTAGTTCCAACTTACAAACAATTTCTAAAACATGCCTTTATTGCTGTAACACTCAAACTCCTACAACATGTTATTATAAAACACTGCACGTGGCTTCATCCTCACAATGGATTATTGTCTATAAATCAGCCACATGGGAACTTTTTATCTTTTCCCTATGTTTGGAGGGTGTTTAGTCTTCTCTAATTACCTCTACCCACTTCCACTGTCTTCACTCTCTTGTCTTTGCGCAGTGGTAAACTGGACCCTGGGACTCTCCTCAGCCTGCATCTTGTTTTACTTGCTAACTTTAGCGGCTCCACAGTACCCTTTGAAACAAAACGCAACATATGTTCACGATAGCACAAAAGTGGAGGAAGAGATGGAAAATACTGAATTACTCATAAATCTAAATGTAAGTAGGGTATTACAGGTGCTTATAGTGTTGACACACAGGCAGACAGACAACCACATTTATACTGTCAATGGTTTAAACATATTTCATTGTTTTATATAGAACTACTATTTCTGACATATCAATATCAGAAAAATAACTCTAATTAAAGATGCAGTAGGCAGCCTTTATAAAAAGTAAATATAAAAATGTTGTTGTTCTACTGGATATAGTGAAGGTTTCAGCAAATATGATAAAAAATAATGTTTTTAAAAATGACCTGCTGCAGCTTTAAGGCACACCCAGTCACACTGTGGCAGTGCTGTCCTGCCAAACTGCCATAAGCCCTGGTATTGATATCACCAGAGAATCCTTTCTAATGGCTTTTGTGACCTTTGACCTGGTGTCTAGAGCCACCATCCCAGTTTGCAAAGCTGTAAGAGATCAAAATAGTTTGGAGGTGTTCATCCAATAGCAATAACATGAAGAATTTTGCTTTTATTGTGAATTTCATGTTTTACTTTAGTATGTTTCAACACCTGCCTCGTTATGTTTATTCAGTTTTCAGAGGTTAATCTTTAATTCATTTCATGCTCGTGCATCTTCTCTCTGACAGCTCACAGACGTCCAAGACACTGCTGTAAGTTTGACTGTATTAAATGTCGGACGGTAAGAAGATATTAGTATCACAATATCTTTTTTTACAATATTGTATCGATTGTCAAACATGATTTTTGTTTTTCACAGATCTGTCTCATGTACCAATGTCAGGATATAGTGGAAGTTTTTTTTAAAAAAAAGACAAACTTAGTAGGTATAGTGCAGCTTTTATGGCCAAATTCAGCTCAAGTTAGTGAGTCTGAGCCTGAGTGCACCATACTGCAGGAAAATAATAATTCCATAAAATACGCATGTGGATAATGAATGAGTGAGACACTGTGATTGCAGATGATGTGCACACACATCTGTGCTGACCTGACAGAACCTCTAAAAACCTTTGCAGAAGACTATGAAGACTGTTTGATATACAGGGTAAGTTGCACCTCCCTGTGGTTCATACCCAGCATGCTCTAGCAGGCGTCTGAACCATGATGTGCAATATCTTATAGAATAACCCATCTTCAAGCTGCAGCTGCCTCGGCCGTCGCACTGAGACAGAGAGAGACTCTTCTCTTCACCTTGAGAGAGCACATCAAGCGGTCCAAACAGGCTGCCGTCTGAGAGACTTATATAGCTGCACTATTTATTTGGACAACATTATTTTCTTTTCTTTTTTTCAAAGCTCCTCATGTGGGAGTAAGACCCTGCAGTCTACACTGCTGCAGCAATGACTCAAATGTCTGATGCTACTGATACCACTGCACATACCACGTAACAGCAACATTTTCTGGGTTGCTCAATGTTTTATTTTTGTTGTTTTGTTGTTAAATGGTTTGGGGTGCTCACCTCGCTCATGGTGGTACTGTTGGGTCTCTGTAAATAATGTTATAAAGAGTTCGGTCTAGACCTGCTCTATTTGAAAAGTGTCCTGAGATAACTTCTGTTATGAATTGGCGCTATACAAATAAAATTGAATTGAATTGAATTAATTATTTGAAGGCAGCTCTTTCATGGCTGTCAGAAATTGGAGCCCATGTGCGAGTGCTCTTCACAAGTCAGCTCTGTCCCCCCCCCACCCCCCGGGTGGTAAACATTGAGCCACATTGTCCTCTACTTGTCTGCAGCGTAACTCAGTCTTTATTGGAGTGTTTTAGCTTACATTAGGGTAGCAAGTTCAAACTAGTTTTATCTGAAGATGTCTTTATGCAACCAGCCCCAGAAACCATCAGATAGCTACGACAGCTGAATATGAGGCCACACATTGTTGGAGCGCCTCCTCCAGTTTGGAACCTGCCACAGACATTAACTGTACACAGCTGAATGTTAACCTTTCCTGGCCTGACTCCTTTTTTCTGTAATTTGATTATCCTGATAATTCATAATAATGTAAATTTCCCCATTATATGATCATTTAGCTGTCCCAATGATTATCATGCATCCCCACATGTCCACCTCATCATTTCACCTGCAGTATGCAGGAGGTGCACACATTCTCCCCACACAATATTCTTTTCTGAATACCAGTTTGTGTGGGTAAAGACGTACACATGGGTTTTGTGCATACACACCGTGTATTTAAATAAAGTTTATTATAATAGTAATAACAAATACAAATTTCGTCAAGTCAAACTGATCTGTGATCTGCTTCACTAGTTCTGTTTATCTGGAAATGCCAGCATGGGCAGGGATGTTAAATGTCACTGTTTACCAGCTTTAATGACAGATAATGAATGGATGAGGAGAACTTTACATATAAAAATAAAATACTTTAATCTGTTCTGTTTGCAGGAGGTGGGTCCGACAGAACTGGACTTCCTAGATATGTTTCATGTTTCAAAGGTGTAATGCAGCCTCCTGCATTGTTTTAGCACACCCGCCTAGCCCCGTGAAGTGTTGATAATTCGTCAATGTTGTATCCCCCCTCCCACTCCAGCACCAGTCCCTATGACCCTGCACAGGGTAACGGCATATAGATAATGTAAGGCTGGTTTGGTAAAACTTCCCTTAATACATTTATTAAGCATTTACATTTAAAAGTCCTTGTGGTGTATTTTTTTCAGAGTGGACTGTTGGAGCCGCTTCAGCCTCCTTTCTCTAGACACCTTCATCACCGCCATCCAGCAGGAACTCGCTGATCTGCCTCTCTCATCTGAGACCTACACAACACAACACACCTCAGGTAAAAATAGGACTGCTCAACATTTACATATTGTGTATATACAGTTGAAACCAGAAGTTTACATACACTGTATTAAAAGACACATATACTTTTTTTTCTCACTGTCTGACATGAAATCAGACAATCATTTTTCCTGTTTTAGGTCCGTTAGGTTTACCAAAATTATTTCTATTTGCTAAATGCCAGTCAAGAAGTTTACATACACTAAGATTACTATGCCTTTAAACAATTTGGGAAAGTCCAGATGATGATGTCATGTCTTTGGAAGCTTCTCAACATTTGAGTTTATTAGAGACACCCCTGTGGATGTATTTTAAGGCACACCTGAAACACACTGCTTCTTTGTGTTACATCATGGGAAAGTCAAAAGAAATCAGCCAAGATATCAGGAAGAGAATTGTGGACTTGCACAAGTCTGGTTCATCCTTGGGTGCAATTTCCAGATGCCTGAAGGTGCCACGTTCATCTGTTCAAACAATTATACGCTAGTATAAACACCATGGGAATGTCCAGCCATCATACCGCTCAGGAAGGAGATGGGTTCTGTGTCCCAGAGTTGAATGTGCTTTGGTCCGAAATGTGCATATCAACCCAAGAACAAAAGCAAAAGACCTTGTGAAGATGCTGGCTGAAGCTGGTAAGAGTGTGTCATTATCCACAGTGAAACGAGTACTGTACCGACATGGGCTGAAAGGCCACTCTGCCAGGAAGAAGCCATTACTCCAAAAGAAACATAAATAAGCCAGATTACAGTTTGCAAATGCACACAGGGACAAAGACCTTAAAACAAAACTAAAATCGAACTGTTTGGCCATAATGACCATCGTAACGTTTGGAGGAAAAAGGGGGAAGCTTGCAAGCCTGAGAACACCATCCCAACTGTGAAATACGGGGGTGGCAGCATCATGTTGTGGGGTTGTTTTGCTGCAGGAGAGACTGGTGCACTTCACAAAATAGATGGCATCATGAGGAAAGAACATTATGTGGAAACACTGAAGCAACATCTCAAGACATCAGCCAGGAAGTTAAAGCTTGGGCGCAAATGGGTCTTCCAAATGGACAATGACCCGAAGCATACTGCCAAACTGGTTACAAAGTGGCTTAAGGACAACAAAGTCAATGTTTTGGAGTGGCCATCACAAAGCCCTGATCTCAGTCCTATTGAACATTTATGGGCAGAGCTGAAAAGGCATGTGCGAGCAAGGCGTCCTACAAACTTGGCTCAGTTACACCAGTTCTGTCTGGAGGAATGGGCCAAAATTCCTGCCAACTATTGTGAGAAGCTTGTGGAAGGATATCCAAAACGTTTGACCCAAGTGACCATGTGTCTTTATACAGTGTATGTAAACTTCTGGTTTCAACTGTATGTGATTATACACACTTAAAAGTCTGTAATCATACTCAATTGGGGCGGATCCCCCATTTTGGTGTCAAATGCTGTCAAATTTAAAAAAAAAATTTATGTTCACTGCTTAAGAAATATTTTGAAAAACAGCTGTTTTCTGTTGATGCTGTGGTTGTAAAAAATAAAGAACATTCTTTCACATGAGAAGACCATGTTTAGCTGTAAATAAAGACAAGTGAAAGACAGACATGAGTTGAGCTGAGTGGAGCTGACCTTACAGCCCCAAACCTGAATTTATTCAATTTGAACTTGTACATATAAGTTACAACCACAGAGATTCTTAAATGAACGGAACAATATAGTTTTTTTTCAAAGTGTTTTCTTAGTGATTACTGACTATTAACAACATTAAACCTTTACAGCCTCAAAATCTTGAGATATCTGTGGAACTGTCTCATACTCACATCAGCTTCGGAATAACAATAGCCCTCATTCATCAAACACCCTTAAAGGCTTAAAAAAAAACTTAAAAAAGAATAAATAAAACCTCCTTAGAAATACAGAAAGATTCAAGTGATGTAAGAGACATACAAACAACATCTAAATAAGCAATAATTTAACTGCATCTGTCCAAACGTTTCACAACCTTTCCTTATATACATATTTACAAAAAGCATGCCTTAATTCAAAGTGTGATGGATCCCAGTGTACTAAAGCAAAGCAGTAACTGTATGTCCTATATGAGATACAGGCAGGAGCAGAAACAATATACTTTCTGTTACAGAGCTTCACCAAAGCCCAGTGTGCAGTCGTCCACTCTGTGTCTCCATAAGAATCTTCCAGATTTTAGGTAGCCTACTTACTCACATACTATATTCAAAATACACAAAGAAATCTTGTACAAGCATCAGATTATAAAAAATAAAAATGAATGCTGTTTAACAAAGCAAAATGTCCTCTAATATTATGCAGTTCCAGTAGTTTTCCATGTGCAGTGCAAATACGTATATACTTGTATCTTGGAAATGAGCATCTTCCACGCAGACTGATTTTAAGGTGGAATTGATATATACTGAGCTTGAAGGTAAGATTGGGCTACTTTAAAGGAGTGTTAAAATGAATTCCCAAGCTGGAGAGCCACTTCCTGGTTCTACTTTAACATACTGGTCTCACAGTAGTTGTGCAGTCCATCCAATAAAGTTATCAGAACTGTTTCTACAGTCCTACCTCTCTACTGTAACTGATCCGTCACTGTCCCACCCCAACTGTTTCCAGAGGAAATACGTCACATTGAGGAAGTAATGATAAAAAGAAGGACTATTCTTTAAAGGGCAGACTTGAACATTGACAGGTTAGTGCATTAAGACCAATAACTCTACTCAAAGCATCTAGACTGTGTTAGGCAGGGTTAGGATCACGCTCAGCTCAACTTGCATCATACTGCTTTCAGTTCAGAGGCCTCATAACAATCTGAAATCCTATCTTATCTCATTTTAGGACATTTAGGATTTTTGGTATTACAGAAACATGTCTCCATCTTAGGATAGAAATTTAGCTATTACAGAAGCGCCCAAAATGAAATTTCATAAGTTAGGATGGCGTAGACTGTTGTTATGTCTATATGGCAATGACAATGAAGATGGGGGACATGTACACCGAAATATTATGACTGAAAGGACACTCAAAGCATATGATTACGCTTTACATTTACCGGACTGTGTATTAAAGCTGCAGTACCTAATTTTTGTAAAAGTTTTCATCATATTTGCTAAAGCTTTCACTATATCCTGACAGTAGAACATGAGACAGATAATGTGTGAAACAATCAGGTTCCTCTGGCTCCTCCTAGTGCTCCTAATGGCATTAGCAAGAACCCACCGGGCCTGAACCAAAACAACCAATCAGAGCCAAGGCATGACAGGATGAGTGCTGATTGAAGTCATGTTTATAGTTAGGATTTCTTAAGATAAAATAGGAGGTCTGTGATGGCTGTGATGACTTCAGGAATTGCTTCTGTAAAAGAAAGATGGGATTTTTCCTATCTTTGAAACAAGCAGTTAGGGCAGTTTTCTGTAATGACGCTGTGGTACAGGAAAATGTTGGATGGGTAGTAGATGTTTATATAGAGGGTTTATGGTAGGGGATGACTGGTCAGCAGGTGGTCAGAGACATAGGGTCAGTAGGTGGTCAAAGATAGGGTCAGTTCACAGGACTATTTCTGTGAGAGACCTCACACCCATATGTGGACTTTTAATATAAATAGGACAACAGGGGTGTTTTCTGTCTTAAGATGTACAGAGGTGTATATAAGACAAAGCATTCTAGAAGTCGGGGGAGAGCATCTATGCTGTGGTCTTCTCTCCATGCAGCATGAGTAACGGAATTTGATTCATCACACTGGGTTCATAATTCTTCAGAGAACTAGCAACTCTCAATATTATGGAAGAATTTCCCCTACAGATTTGAATCTATAGACACTCTATTCTTAGAGCCTCACCAGAAGTGTGGCTGAAAATGTAACTTTTGTCTTGAGGGTGGTGCTCGAGGAACGGTCATAGAAGCATTAAAGGCATACTAGGCTGGATTTTCCTAAAAAGACAAAACAATGTATAGACTAATGGAACAGTACTTAAAGTTGAGATGAAATTAAAAGTGCCTTTTTAACCCCTCCCCAGTCATACTGTACACCTACTTAACAATTTATTAGCGAGAAATAAAATAAAAAACAAAATGTGATGTGTGCTAACGTGAACCAATACATTTTAACCAACAATATCATGACATCCACCCATCAATCAATCTTAAACTTTTACTGACAGCTAAGGTTCATTAGTTAGCTAGCTAGCAACAGCAGGGGGTCTTTTACTTCATCAGTGATTTGGGTAAAAGTGGATCACATTTTATGGTGAAAATATTTTCTGATTTTCCCTCTGACATCCTCTGGCTGCTCTGCCGCAACTTTGCTTACTGTAGCTGCTGTTAGGGTGCAACGTGCAATGTATAAAGCGCAGCAGTCTGTGTGTCTGGTTGACCTAAGCTGAGCTACACAGCGCAAAATCCGACAATGCGCACCTCCTGCAGGTTTTTGTCTCCACAACACAGCTTTAGAACATAAATCGCTGTGAAACAATCCATCTCTGATTCCCTGCCTTGTTCCCAGAAATGGCGCTCTCTGTCTGCTTTCAGGCTTTCATTGCTGCTCTCAGATGAGTTGGGGAGTGGGGGGCGTTTACAAACAGCTAGAGAAAAATCCTGCACAGTATGCCTCTAAAATCAAAAGGGATCATCTCTTTGGGAACATGAATGTGACTGGGCAACTTTCATGGCCAGTTACATCTTTATATGCAAAGTTGATATTTTGGCGCTAGAGGGAAGATCACGGAGGGTCCAAAGTGTAAAGAGCTTATCCTCTGGGAAGAATGAATGTGCTCAGCAAATTTCATGACAACGTGCACATTAGTTTGATATTTCTTTCATATTTCTCGTGTCTTGATTAGAACATTTGGTGATGGTGGGAAAGCTGAAGGTGGGGCTAAAGAAATAACAGTAGATTTTTAAAGCCATCAGAATTCATCTTTTTGGAAAGACCAATATTCATGGTCATTCATTTTCCAGATACCTGTCATACACCAAAGTGTTGGCTGAAAATCCGGACCTTCCACTGGAAAAGTCAGGTCAGAGAGTCACCAAAACCATTAAGAGTCTTCCTCTGGGGACCACGAATATCCGCAGCAAACTTAACAACTGCTTAGTAGTTGAGTTATCTCACTATGTGCTTGACTAAATAGTGGAGGGACACCTCTGTAGGCCTCACTGCTGCCAGGACCAAAGTTCAAGTATGAACCCTAAATGGGAACTGTTAAAATTGTATCCACATTTACTGTACAGTATTTGTTCAATGACATTTTAAAACAACACGCTGTATTTATATTTTTTAAAGAATAAAATAATATTTCAGTCACTGTGTGCCCAGATGATTCTAGAGACCAACACTGAAGTGGACTAGAAGTGGATTTGTACAGTAGATTCCTCAGAGTGGGTCTGTCTAGGTCCACACTCAAAGACAAGTTTACCATGCAGAGAAGACTTCTGGTGTCCTCCAGTTGTCCTACTTGACAATATGAACACGTTATTAGAGTATTTCCCACAGTCACTAGTCTGTCAGCTTGTTGAGTTGTGATTGGATGGTGGGATGATGGGTGTCTTCTCTCTACTTAACACGTCTCTTTCTGTCGTCTTCATCACCTTTAAAGGCCACCTATGTCTCATTCTCTTCTTCTTTCGCATTTCTTTGTTTACATCTCCTCCACTTGTCTCTCGTGGTCCCTCTCCCTCTCTCAGGTCAGAGGTCAGCCACCATCAGGCTCAGCAGCCTCTTCTTGTGCTCTGCAACTTTTTAAAGATGAGACGAGGTGGAGAAACACAGCTTCAGGGTGTATGGGTTGGACCCATCTGAAACCACACACACACACACACACGACACACACACACACACACACGCACACGCACACACACACACACACACACACACACACACAAACATACTTAGTATTAGAGCCTGACAGACATTCAATCTGCATGCTAACTGTGGTTAATGACATTAAATGTATTCAATCTGACATGTTTTCAAACACCCTGTGGTCTCCTACCTTTGCACATATCCATTCAGTTGGATTATTGTACACTTTGTCTTTTTCCACAATGTCTTACATGTGAAATAAAAAGTGCCTATGAAATACCAGGAGCTAAGATGTGTCAATCAGCATTATGGAAAGGAAAGGGAAGTATAAAGTGTATTTGTTTATATACATAATATATTTTCAGGTGGGTATACACTATAATCCAGCTGTGGACAGTGAGTATATGAACAGTATATGAACACAGACAGACTTACTGGGTATCCTGATCTGGTAGTGGTTGAGAACAGTAAGAACCTCCACAGCCTCCGTCTTACTGTCAAATTCCAGCAAGCCAGAGATGGTCTTAGAGGAGGCTGAGAGAGAGATACACAAGGTGAGATTAAAAGAGAGTAGATGTTCAAATATTAAAAACAACAGGAGAGAAGTAGTATATGGAAGCTGAGAGCGGCCCTGTTGCAATTATCTTTTTAATGCTGTTATCTTGAGATCATTACTAAGAAAAAAAGAGAAAAAAACATTATAATTCATAGAATCAAGAAAATATCAGAAAACAAAACCTTTGCCTTGTGTGTATGGTTGTGTGTGTGTGTGTGTGTGTGTGTGTGTGTGTGTGTGTGTGTGTGTGTTAGTCTGTGTATGTCAGAGATTAAGGAAGTGTGTGTGAAGTTGTTACAGATGTGTGTGTGTGTGTGTGTGTGTGTGTGTGTGTGTTATCTCTAGAAAACAAAAGGCAGATTTCTCGAGATAATAATATAATTTATTACGAGAAAACTACTAAACTTTTTTTTTCTCAAGATAATGATGGATAATTAAGGAGAATTGGAAAATTAGTGTGTGGTTCACCCCAGATCACTGACATGACTTCCTGGGAGGATTCACAACTGAACTGAAAAGAGTTGTTACCATAATGAAGATCTGAGAGTTCATTTAAGGTGTTAGTTTCATGGCAATGTGATACCATACTGACTAAATACAACAAAAGAAGATTGAGATTTATTAAATGAGCTCAAGGATCCCTGTGCCTTGAAACTTGACATGGCCAGAATAAATTGGTGAAACGCAGATGAGTCAACTTTGTCCTGAAAATCTGTGTGATCTTTGGTTAATCAACATTAGAACAAAATAATTAAGTTGTGATCTTAAGATATTGAAAAAATTATTGCAAGCACAGCTGTGTCAGCTTCCATAGGAGCAGGAAGAGGGAATAATATGTAATTTATAAACTTACACCACTTTTAAATTCATCAGTGCACACAGAGAAGTGTAAGAATCAATCTTTTCACAGACTGACTACAAAAGGAGGACATGTTTGAAAACTTCATAATCTAACAAAGAGTCACACACTGAAGTTCTACTTACGTTTGGCATCAAACATCTTGAATTTGACGAAGCCAGGCACGTCATGCTCCGTACACAGCTGCCAAAACACACACACAGCAGCCAATGTATGAGTAAAGCTGCATTAAGACTTAGACTTAGTCATCATATGGCCAGGTCTGGAGACAGGGTTCAGCACAGACTCTAGCCGTTTCCAGCAAGACATTTAGACCCTGCTCCTGTCTGCACCATGATACCGATATCAGCTTGGAACCGTTTCCAAAGCTGATGGACTGTGCAGTGGTACATGTACCATGGTTTGAAAACCAGTGAACTATGCAATATAAACTGTTAAGCAAGGAAAATTACATATTCTTTGGCAAATCTGTAGTATCAGCGATCAGCACTGTCACCACAACAAAAAGGTCCTGAGTTTGACTCTGTGTCTAAGAAACAATGAGTTCATACTTTATGTATCAGCATTTATGTTTTAGAAATATATGTGAATATCTGTTAGAATATATCAGATATTTATGAAAATGGCTATTTTTTCTATATTTAGAAATATATTTACATTTACGTGATTTAATAGTTACATTGGTGAGAGACATACATTGACATAAATTACATATGTAGTTTAAACCTACAACAAGGAGGTTTTGAAACAGTCTCAACTGAATACTCATGCCTCTATATGACCTACATAAACTAACAACACCATCAACGAGAAGATTAGGCCATTTAAATATAGTTATTCCTAATGCCTGCCACCAGGTTGTCTTCGGTCAGATTCCCATTGAAATCAATGAAACAAGGTAGTGGAAACACTGCTGCTTTTGTCACAGCGGCCGCCAGAATCAACACAAAAAGAAAGTTCTTTGTAGGAGCTTTAACCAGATTAATATCAGAGTGCTTTCATTGTTTTTATGTGTTTTAAACTAAAACCTAAAACAGGACAATGGTCAGACAGAAGTAGCATACCCTCAGTAGGTGGTCCTGTGATATGCATGGAGGAACGTTGTAGTAGTGTAGCACTGCAGAAGGAGGCTGGATGATGTTTTTAGAAGCCTGTCCGGCACTGCTGAAGCGGTTGTTTCTGGTCATGGCAAAGTCCTTATAGCTGCTGCTGCCGTCCTCTAACTCAAACACCTGACTGGGGATCACTGCGTGCTGCTTAGACACACTGCACACAACACCACACTGTGTTACTGTCTGATCAAAATACATGCATCTGAGCAACAATACCATAAACCCTCACACAACATGTCACAGATCAGGCGTGTAGGCAGTCATGAGGCAGCATTATTCAGTGTTGGGATTGTGAACTGTAGAGTGCCACCCAGAGGACAACAGTACTCATTTACTGAAGTATTTCAACAAAGGCTCATACACACAAAGGAGATGGTGAAAAATATGAACTGTATGCATGTGTGTTTATTGATCCACTTCTCACCAAACGTTGAGTCTCTTGCCAAACACCTTGATGCTGTTGAGGTGTGTGATAGCTCTGTCCACAGCATACTCATCTCCCATCTCAACCAATGCTGTACCAGGAACACTCTTCATAAACTTTACCTACAACCACACACACTCACAGTTAACAGCTGTCCATAAAAGCAGAATTTATTAACATGCCAGATGTAACATATACTAAAAAATTCATGACAGTAAAAGACCGACCGTAAAGCCCTAAATCTCATGGCAAAACCTTTATTTATACAGCATTTTAAAGGAATGTATATGGAATATAGAAGTTTTCTTATATTACGGACTGTAAATTGCACGGAAAATCTCATGGCAAAAGCCGTTTTATACAGCATTCACACAGTATTTCCATGTGGCAAATTTTTTTATTTTGATGGTATTTATACAGTAAAATATGGAATAAAGCCGGAACAGTAGAAACATTCTACCGTATTTTTAAAGTTCTGGCAACTACAGCTGCCTTTACAGTTAGTTAGTTTTTGTTTTACAATGTAATGATTCCTTAAAGGACTGGTTCACAATTTTTCTAAAAGCTGGGCATTTTAATATGGGGCCTCATGGAGATTGGCTCACTGCCTGAGCCAGCCTCTGGTAGCCGTTAAAGGAACTGTAGTTTTTGGCACTTGTGTGTTGGCTTCATTTGCAGCCCCGGAGGTTCCTGCTTAGTTTCTAGCCATATTAGACAGGGGATGTCCCAAAAAAATTACATAAAGTGGTACTGTGGATTTGAAAGCTTGGAGTAGTCCTTTCAGTGTAATGGCACAGTGTAGTTGTATAAATTCTTCTGAGGATAATGTAAAGATGTCTAGACCATGACAGTTATTCTCAGAAAGTGTGTAATTCCTGCATCCTAATCATCCAAACAGCAGTGACTGGTCTGACAGCACATTTACTTCTGTTTCCAATCCTACCTTCTCAATGTTTCCGTAGAGGCAGAAGAGGTTGAAGATGCGGGTGCAGTTCATCTTGGATGGATGCAGACCGCTCACCATGGCTACAGAGCTAGGGGCGTGGCCAGAGTACGAGGAGGATGACTGGGGCAGAGGGTAGGACACCATGTCTGGAACGTCTACTGAGGTGAGTTTGTACCTGCTGTTGCCGGGCAGAGGCAGCAGGGGGCAGGGTGGACCTGAGGAGGCAGGGCTCTCAGTTCACTTCAGCTCAATAAACATTTACTGAAAATGACAGTGATTCCTGGCTGGGCTGCAGCAGAGAACGGAAACATGAAGAAGATCCCCACTTGATGTGGATGAGTATTATATTAAAATAGACTTGAAGTGAATCCATTTACTCATTGTGTGTATGTGTAAATGTGTATATGAGGGCTGAGAAGACTAATTAAAACACAGCATGCACATAAGTTTGTCCTTGAACTTTACTATAGTAATAAAAAAAAGGGGGCGCTCAAATAGCTACATCAAAAAGACAGTTTTCATGTGTGCCATGCTTCATGTGGATGTTGACAATGACAGCCTTAGTAATGCATTTATTTCATTAATAGACTCAATTGGCTTCTGTCATTGTGTAAATAAACCCACTCATTGTTTTAATCACACTCTTGACCTCGTCCTGTCGTATGGCATTGCTATTGAACATTTAATAGTCTTCCCACAAAATCTGACCATTATTTAATAACTTTTGAATTCCTATTACTATATTACAAGCCATTTGGCAAAACTTCCTACAGCAGATGTCTATCTGACAGTGCTGTAGCTAAATTCAAGGAGGAGATTCCATCAGTGTTTAATTCAATGCCATGTCTGAATATAACAGAGTCCTATAACCTTAGCCCCTTCCAAATGAATTATCTTGTTAACAGTGCTGCTATAAAAAGGAAATTATTAAAACATAGGAGACTAGCACCGTGGTACAACCACCAAACCCACAAATTAAATCAAAAAGCGCGGAAATCTGAAAGGAAATGGCGCTCTTCGAAATTATTAGAATATCGCTCAATTTGGCAAGATAGTCTTAAAACCTATAGAAAGGCCCTCCATAATGCCAGAGGAGCCTATTATTCAGCACTCATAGAATAAAATAAGAACCCCAGGTTCCTCTTCAGAACTGTAGCCAGGCTGACAGAGAGTCACAGCTCTATTGAGCCACGCATCCTGATAACCCTCAGTAGCAACGACTTTATGAGCTTCTTTTATAATAAAAGTATTACTATTAGAGAGAAAATTAATCACCAAATGCCCTCAACAGGTATCACTGTCTCTCCAAATACAGGAATTTTAACAAACGTAAAATCAGATATATATTTAGACTGTTTTTCTGCTATCGATCTTCATCAGTTAACTTCAATAATTTCTACATCGAAGCCATCAACCTGTCTGTTAGACCCCATCCCAACTAGGCTGCTTAAAGAAGTCGAACCCTTAGTTGGTATTTCTTTACTGGATATGATTAATCTTTCTTTATTGTCAGGATATGTACCACAGTCCTTTAAAGTAGCAGTAATTAAACCCGTTGTTAAAAAGCCCACTCTTAACCCATGGGTTTTAGCTAACCATAGACCTCTTTTTGACCTCCCCTTCCTCTCTAAAATTCTGGAGAAAGTAGTCGCCAAACAGTTGTGTGACTTTCTACATAACAATAGTTTATTTGAGGATTTTCAGTCAGGATTTAGAGTTCATCACAGCACAGAGACAGCTCTGGTTAAAGTTAATAACTTTTTACTGCTTCCGACAATGGACTTGTCTCTGTACTTGTATTATTAGATCATAGTGCTGCATTAGACACCATTGACCATGATATTCTTTTACAGAGACTTGAGCATCTAATTGGCATTAAAGGAACCGCACTAAGCTGGTTAGTCCTATTTATCAGATCGTTCTCAGTTTGTATACACTCAAGTCAGTCATGGAGTTCCACAAGGTTCTGTGCTTGGACCAATTCTATTCACTTTATATATGCTTCCCTTAGGCAACATTATTAGGAATCACTCCATTAACTTTCACTGTTACGCAGATGATACCCAGTTATATCTATCAATCAAGCCCGATTAAATTAATCAGTTATCTAAATTACAAGCATGTCTTAAGGACATAAAAACCTAGAGGAATTTTCTGATGCTAAACTCAGAAAAAACTGAGTCCTTGTACATGGCTCCAAACACCTGTGAGACTCACTATCTAAAGATATAGTTACTCTAAATGGTATTACCTTGGCCTCTAGCACCACTGTCAGGAATCTTGGAGTTATCTTCGATCAGGATATGTCCTTTAACTCCCACATAAAGCAGACCTCTAGGACTGTCTAAATCAGACACATCCTGTCACAGACAGATGTACAAAAACCAGTCCATGCATTTGTTACTTCTAGGTTGGATTACTGCAATTCCTTATTATCAGGCTGCCCCAATAAGTCCGTTAAGATGCTACAATTAATTCAGAATGCTGCAGCACGATTACCTACAGGAACATCGGAAAGAGATCATATTTCTTCTGTATCAGCTTCTCTGCACTGGATCCCTGTAAAATTTAAAATCCTCCTCCTCACCAACAAAGCTCTTCATGGTCAGGCCCCTTCATAACTTAAAAGAGCTCATAGCACCCTATTACCCCCCTAGAACACTACGTTCTCTGAATGCAGGGCTACTTGTGGTTCTCTAAAAGTAGAACAGGAACCAGAGCCTTCAGCTACCAAGCTCCTCTCCTGTGGAACCAGCTTCCAGTTGTGGTTCGGGAGGCAGACACCCTCTCCACATTTAAGAGTAGGCTTAAGACGTTCCTCTTTGATAAAGCTTATAGTTAGGGCTGGATCAGGTGAGTCCTGAACCATCCCTTAGTTATGCTGCTATAGGCCTAGACTATCGGGGGATTTCCCATGAAGCACTGAGCTCCTCTCTTCCTCTCTCTCTCTTTCTGCACTCATTCATGTCCCATTAATGCATGTTATTAACTTCACTTCTTCCCCGGAGTTCTTGTGCTTTCTCGTCTCACAGGTTCTCATGGTTCCTGGTGGAGCCTCCTGCCATGGTCCTGCGTGACTGCCATTGCTAATATTATTATCATTATTATTATTATTATTATTATTACTACAGTTACTATTATTACAAGTGCTTGCTCATGGTGTACGGTCTAGACCTGCTGTATTTGAAAAGTGTCCTGAGATAATTTCTGTTATGAATTGGCGCTATACAATTGAATTTAATTGAATTGAATGTTCCTTATGCATGCAATTCTTTCTCTTTATTGGGTCTTTGTTTTCCTCATCATAATTAAACAGCTAATGTCTGTTTTGAGGAACACAGTACATGTGAATCTTTTGATCAGCCTACTGATTAAACATTATCTCTAGTAAAGTATTTTTCACGAGCCTATAGGCTACAGAGGCTCCTTTATTCTGTATCATAACAGAAATCTGACCCACAATGAAGTGAAATGTGTTGTATAAACTAAGTATAAGTATACTATACACCATGCATCCAATATACTAAGTATAATAGGATGCACGTTAAGTATCACATGAGGTCATTTGTTCTTCTGATTAGTGAAAAGAAACATGTGGCCGTTCACAGTTTGTTATATCACTAATATGATTAGTTCTGCACGTGTGTTTCTGTCAGTTGACAAACTGATCTGAGCACACTTTATCATCTGTTCTTTCACAGTTCATCAAACTGTAATCAAGAAACTCTTTTAAATACTTGGTTATCTCAGTGTTGATATTGGGCTGTAACCTTGCGAGGCAGCTGATCACAAGATGATGCGAGCATCAGTGTCCTTTGAGGAACAACTGGCAGCTACAGCATGACCTACAGGCGTAGTTTAATGCTAAGTGAGTATGCTAACTGAGTGTGACAACATGTGTGAGAAGTGCAGCATCAGAACTGCAGAGAAGAATGTCACTGAAGGTTTTTCTCCATGGAAACGATGTTTTCGCTCTTCTCCAGACTGGCTTTAGTAAGAGTTTGCTATATGGTTCTTTGATCTGACTGGCTAAAGTTCCCCTGTGATAGATGCTGACAGATGGTTCATCCAATCACTTGAGTATTTTTTGAAAGTGCCTGCCATTTTCCAGTTTCCAACAACTTCTCAAATGGTTCTGTGCAACTATCTGGGAAGTCATTTATGTGCCAAGTCTCTGTATGGATGTGAAATAAATATTATACAGGGCCTAAAATGACAAACTCAACATACTAGTCCATATTTTATTTATGTTTAATGTATCAATATGTTTTATGTTAAATGACTATAGGCTATAGGCTCACATAAACAAACACCCTGGGTTAGGGCTGCTCGATTATGGAAAAAATTATATAATCCCGATTATTTGGGTCAAAATTGAAATCACAATTATTCAAACGATTATTTTTTTAAACTTCAGAAACATGCTGCATTTATTGGACATTTGTCAAAAACACTTTGCAAGGAAGTCCTCAGTTTCACTTTCCTTTCCCCATAAACATTTATAAGTCTCCTCGTTACCTGTTCAAACGAAAACAACGTGACGGGAGAAGACTGCAACTAGTGTCGCGACCACCAGCGCACGTATAAATAGTTACGGTGCTCCCGTGACTTCACATTGTCTCGCGACACGTCGGGAACGGCGAGTATACCGAGCGCATGACTCGTGTGCCGTGGGGGAGGGACGGAAATACGCATGCGCGAAATATGCAGACTGTATACAACGTTGCACAACAGCAAATGAAAAAAAAAAAAATCGTTTGGCTCCAAAATCGTAATCATGATCAAATTTGGATTAATTGAGCAGCCTTACCCTGTGTAAACGCACCACCATGCTCCTAATCTAAAAGATTCAGTGACTTGTGTGTGCCTATATGTGTTGAAAAAAGATAAAGACACAGATGAATGTAGGGGCATTTCAAGTATCACTACCACATGCACATTTGGTATTTTGATGACTCTTCTCACCCCCCATAGTGTGTGTGTGTGTGTGTGTGTGTATTGTGAGACAGCTTAAATTAAAGAGTGTAATTGGCAGGGATCAGTTTCCAAATGCAGGAGAAGGTATACCTACTGCTGCACCTTTGGCCATTACACTTGACTGGCAATCTACACCTACGCTGGGTGAATGTGTGTGTGCGTGGGTGGGTGTGTGTGTAGGAGAGTGTCAAGTATCACCTCTGAGGTATGGGGGCTGTAGATGAAGTAGCGGCCTTGTGTAAGGCAGCAGATTCAGTTACCAGTGTAATTCTAACTGTGTGTGTGTGTGTGTATGTGCTGTAGTCTTACCATAGCCGTTATCACTGTAGGATGATGGGTGTTCTCCTAAAATGGCCTGTCTCTGCCTGCCCTTTCCACGGTCTGAAACACACACGCATACACACACACACACACACACACACACACACACACAATTACATTGTGTGCAGGACTGACCAATAATTTACTTAAAAACAATGGGCTTGTTTCACAGATGTAGATCGCCTGTTTCTGAAGACTGCAATGCCTCTTTAGAGGGCTGTAAGCCCAGACAGGGCTAAAATTTACTCAGGATGATTCCAACGAACAGTTCTACCGTCACCTTTATTTTCTCTTAGTTTGACTAACCTGGGAGTTTGTTTACAACCCGTCTGATTGTCTGACTGCTTGTGTTTCGGACCCACTTTAGTGATACGTTCCCAGATCTCAGCAATTAACTTGGTTATTACATTGATACTTTTGATATAAATGATACACAAAACAAGAATAAGACCCAGGTTACAAGAAATGTCCTATATTCTTATATTGCACTATATTCTTTAATAGACAACCACAAAGTTACACTACAGTAAAATACTGCCACAAGATCACGTTTAAGGTTGAATCTTGAAGAGAAACTGTTGGGGGAGCTGTCAGTTATTAGTTGGGCTCTATAGCATGGAAATCAGATTATTGTATAAACTTTCAGTCAAAGGTGCACTCACGGCCACAGCTGGAAATTATCTTGACCTTGTGCAACATGCAAAAATAGAGAACCCTAAAGGGAAATTCCAGTTTCACACAACTTGGGTCCTGTTTTTAATGGTTTTGTCTATCATTTCTAGTTTACCTTACCTACCTTGCTTAGGCTGTTACCAAGGCAACATCAGATGTTGCCTTGGTAACAGCCTAAGCAAGGTAGTCCACTCCATACATCTGTCTCCCCAGCCAGGTACTCCAGCTCTCCTGGGGATCCCAAGCCATTCCCAGGCCCGATGGGACATGTAATCCCTCCAGTCTGTTCTGGGTCAGACCTGGGGTCTCCTCCCAGTTTGATGAAAAAACCCCTTGAGCCCTCCCTCCAGTAGATATCCTAATCAGATGTCTAAACCACTTCAACTGGCTTTTTTTTTATAGTGAAGGAGCAGCAGTTCTACTATTTCCTGTAACTTCAGTATGTCTGAACATTTCACCCGACTCTGAAGTTGAGCCCAGCCTCCATCAGCAAAGATGATGTCCCCCACTTGTATCCACAATGTCATTCATTTAGTCACTTCCCAAATCTCACAACCAAAGGTGAGGGTTGGAGTGTAGATTGACTGATAAATTGAGAGCTCTTTTCAACACCCCAAAATTACTGCTGAAGCCACCCCAATCGCCGCCCTCATCTTGTATTCCATTTTAGCCTCACTTGTGAGCAAGACCCCTGACATACATTGTTCAGAACCCCCCTTGTCCAGCAGAGTACCATGTCATGACCAGTATATAGTGCCATGGGAGAGAAAAAAACATAAATTGCAAAAAGATATAGGAAGGTGGAAGTCAGTCAGGTCAATGGTGTAGTGAGTGGATGTGTGGGAAATGTGGTAAAATAATAGAAGAACCAACCAAACCACATGGCGAGAGTCAAGCCAAGAAGCATCTTATACAGTGCCTGGCAAGCCTTGGTCCGAACCTCGGTCAACGTCCTCTTTTCCTGTACTTAGATATGCTATGTGCTACGCTCGTCTATGTTGAAAATGCTAGCTAACTAGCTGGCTAATTTATATCAATTGTTAGTTGGCTAGTTAGCTAACGTTTTGCTAACATATATCTTTAAAGCACCTTCAAAATGTCAGCTTTTCAACATAGACGAGCCTAGCATATAGTATATCTAAGTACAGGGAAGGACAAAACTGAGGCTTGCTCAATTGTTACTGGAGCGCAGAGCAAAAAGAGGCAGGACTTAGGAAGGGTCAAGTACCTTTACCTGCAAGAAACAGGTAATAATAAAACAGGCAAGAGGACTTGGAGGTGCCACTTGGCTGAAAACGGCCCCAGTATGTGTAGGTCAATAAAGCCACCATACTATTGACTTTAGTGCTGCACAAGAGACTCTGTCCAAAAAAACAGAAGAAGACACAATCCTGACAAAGCCCAATAGCCACTGCAAATGTTGTTCTTACCTTTGCTAATTGCTGAGATCTGAGACACAATAACAATAACTAGCCCCTGAAGTGCACCACATCTTAACAATTTTAAACATTATCCAAGTATATGAGTGGGAGTGGACAGCAGGAGATCATGCTGCAGGAGATTTTTGGGATGTTTTTATAATATGAAAACTTGTCACAATAGAATCCATTATACACATTCTTGAAGCAACAAGACTGTTGAAGCAACAGGGGGCATTTAGTTGCATTTGGTTTGGTACTTTCGATTTTTTTAAAATAAAAAACAAAACAAAAACCCACACACACTATAAAGCTGACCACTGAAATACTGCTCCGACAGGGATGGTTGTATTTAATAACACATATAATGTACATGATGGCTCAAGAAAAAGAGCCTATGTGCTGTCATGTCTGTTATTCACAGTTTAGAATTACAAAAGAAAATGGGTAAAGTCCTTCTACGAACCATCATTTTTTGTGCGTTGAAAGTAAGTGAGTTGATTTCAAATTACATTAATTTCTATAAACCATACTCATGAGTAATGATTCTTAGACCCCAGGGAGGAAAAAAACTTCAATAAACTTTATGGTAATGATGGAGGTGAGTAAATAAGAAAACAGGTTTAAGGTGGTTTTATTCAATATAATGATACAGAGAAGGTCATGAACAGAGATAGAAAGAGACAGTACCTGTGAGGCATCAAGCTTTCTCTTTTTTTCTCCCTCAGCACGAAAGAACATCAACCTGCATTACATTATCATCATAATGATAAAAACATCATCATTACTGTGGCTGTCAAACACATTTACTTTCCATCACTGTGTCTCATACTACAGTGTATATATACTATACAAAAGACTACATTGGAGGCACACTGAAATGACACTGACTTTTTTTCCTGAGAGTCAGACCAGTCAGCTGAAGAGAGAGAAGTAACCCCCACCCTGCCCCCTACCCCCCACACACTGGTCAGCAGTTATTTGGCTGATGTTGTATCCTGAAGACAGGCACACACATCAACACACGCACAGTGATCAGAGGAGAGGTGCTACAGCAGTGAAAAGTGAGAAGGCCTGGAGCTAATCCAGAGAGCAGGATGGCCATCCACACTGACCTTCACACCACAGATTAGCAGCACACACAGTCAGCATGCATGTTTCTGTGCTATATTCAGAGAACCTGGTTAATCGCAGAGGCAGTCGAGCTGAGCCACTGTGTGCATCAGCTGGCTGCTGCCACCAAGCCCAGCTTCTTCATTTGGTGTGACCATTTGATCTTCAGGACAATGAACATGGATCAGCTGAGACCAAACATTGTCATCAATAGGGCTGTGTATTGGCAAGAATCTGGCAAAACGTATCACAATACAGGGGTTACGATTCATACTGTATCCAAGTTGATATATTGAGTTATTCAAATTTTAGGAAAACTGTCATAGTATGAAGAACACACCACCATATGCATACAATCTGAACAAATTACTTTGGGGTGCCCTGGTAGACTTTGTGCCCCATGTACTAAGGCTGAAGTCCTTACCCCAGAGGCCCAGGTTTCATTCCAAACTGTGGCCCTTGCCTACACCTCTCCAAAACTGCAAAAAACCTTCCAGTTACTTTGACTTCTACCTCTTTCACTTTGATATCTTGGTCAATGAATGGCAAATTATTACTAACACTTGAGAGTCTGAAGAGAGTAATAAGTCATTTATTTCTGTTGATCAACACCTGTAGTCCACAGTAGCTTTTGCATTGCACCGGCATTCTCTAATTTACACAGCTAACACTGTGCTCTTAATTATTTAAATCTTCCGACACAGCAAAGATCAGTAATTGACCTTCTCTGCTTGACACCGGTGAGCTGTTCTCCCTGATTCCACATTTATACAATGAGGTCATATGGAGTAGAGCTGGTGTCTTCAGTAAGAGCGCTCAGCTCCACCAAAGATCTGCCCTTGGACGCCACCAATATCACACCTGGTGTGCGCAGGACAACAGGGTACACTATATTTGAACTGGGAAGTTGGAATTTCCTAGTTTCAAGTCAGAAATATCAGGTGGAATGGCCCCTGAAGTCAGATTTCCAACTAGAAAAGTCAGAAGAACCTCATCAACCCCAACACCCAAGAAAGCTGCTTCCTGCGTCAACTAAGGTAAAACTGTAGTAATATACTGTTTATTAGCATCTCTGTCTCAATAAATCAGTTGTCACATTACTGCCCAACTGTCCGTGGAAATATTTGCATGAGCAAAATACAGCGTAATGCATTGTTATCAACTGTTATTGCTAACAATGGCTAATGGATAACCTGGCTAGAGCTAGGTTTTCCAAACAATAGGACTCCTCAGGTAAATGGAATGCACCATAAAACCCTTTGATGGACCTATACCTACGGTGGAGGCACAGCAGGTGCAGTTCAGTGATGTAATAATCAAAACCAAGCGTACAATCACTTACTGAATAGGAACCAGGAAAGCAACCCAGCATGGGCAAACAAAAAGAAAATCCAGCATCCATAAAAAAAACATCCAAAAAAACCCAAGATCCAAGATCCAAATAACTCTATGAAAACACTAGGAATATGCTGGGACGTTTGACACATGGACTGAGACGAAATGGCATTGAAACAAGGGAACATAAACTACATACACATACACTACAACATACACTAGTGAGGAAAGGATAATGAGACACAGGTGACTCTGAACAAATGTGGGAAAAAGACAAAGGCAGAAAGTGGTTACACAAGACACACAAGGAAGGACTCAATCCACATAAAACAGGAAATAACTAAACTAAAACCAGAACAACCTAGGCTCAAGTCAGCCCTGGCATCTAGTTTCAAATCCTGAACTGAAATAATTAGTCTTTATCAAAACAAGCAAAACAATGTTTTTTTTCTCACTGCCAAAAGTGTTGAGCTCTCAGTGTACTGGTTTATTAAAGCCTCTATACTGTTCTGAAAAGTGATG